TAATAGCATACATACATGTATTTAATGATGCATATACTACACACAGTCAAATATGTGTATAGCGGATGCTAAGGTAATAAACATATGGAAAGGTGGTCTTTATAAATTGACCAAACTTGTTTCAAAATGGCGGTCACTGGGCGCATTAGAAAGGTGGTCTTTTTTATATACAGATCCCTTTATATGTAAATTTTAATATAACAAATATGGTATAATATTATATGATGAGTGACACATTGTGAGAAAAAATGCAAAAAAGCAATATATTTACATTAGATGTTTATAGTGTCAAAATATGAATCTTAGTCTTTGTTTCCATGGAAACTAGAAGCATACCTTGTTACACCACCAATGAAAGGTGATTTCTGATAGGATCTTTTCAGTACTGTCAGACTTTTAGAAACATCTGAATCTTGGTGAAATCTGGTAGGTTATATATAAATATATTAAAACATTGATGAAATGATAGAGCGGTTTGGTTAACCCCTCATAAGATCACATGACCTATAGCCAACACATTAATTTGCATAATACCACAAACATTAAACTTTCACTTCTACAAATATGTGCAATTGGGTGGTTCAAGGTTCTGTATAGATATTAAGAGAAAGACATAAGTATGGCAAATATGGACTGAACGTTCAATTTTCAAAGATTTGTTTCAATGACATTTTATGATCATTTCAGATTCCAATTGAGTTGCATGTAAATATTTCTTTTGCTTATACTTTAGAATGGCGTTACAACATGAATGATTTCATAAAAGTCAATTCTGTAACTTACTGTGGGCCCCAGTCTTAAAACCCCGGTGAAACTCTATGGGCGACTGCAGAGTGCAACTTTCAACACTACTGTATTAAGGTAAAATACAGCATACCAGAGCTTAACATTAAGTTTTTAACTTGTTTGAAATGTATGTATAATATATAGGTGTTAACCTTTTCACCGTCAGTTTTTTTCTTTTCATCACAAATTCTCAAAATAGTCCCATTCATATCCTTCAGAAGATTTGGACAAAAATATCCATTTTTTTTTTAGTGAAAACTGAAAATTGACTCAAATTTTGTATGTTTGCTCCAAAATTAGGGTTCATTTCCAGAAATATTGAAGAATTTGAAAAAAAAGTGCAAAAAAATTTGGGTGAGAAAGTCTGGTGGTGAAAAGGTTAAGACAAGTGGGTTGTCGCAGGCTATAGGACTACCCTACCCTGCAAACATTACACAAATTGTCGGTAAATCAAACAGGTGTGAATGCTTCTCAGAATATTTGTGGCGTTCACTGGGAAATATGGAAGTATATTGTTACTATAGTAACAGAATAACCTACCTTGTGTCTTGCGGTGGTACAGAGTGATGATAGTAATCATAAATATTATGGTAGGAGGACGCTATATCGTGATCATGCATCAATATGCCACTGTCATCAATTCTGAATGTTTCTTCATCCTCGTAATGAGGCACAACCATTGGAGAATTATTTCCTCCTTCTAGAACCCTACGTGTAATGCTCCTGGCTGGCGTATACCGTCCTGAATCAGAATACGGTTCTGATGCTCTCCCTTGAACAAGAACTTCACGGAGATCAATATGGGAGTTCTGTCTCGGTGAGTCTTTTTTATCAGCACTTTTGAGTCTATCGCTCTCTGACGTATACAGTGGAAATTTCTTTGACATTGAAATCATTCTAACATAATCCCGTTTGTCAAGTTGTCCATCTCTGATACTTGCAATGGGTAAAACTTTATTGTCATGTTTTGCTTTCCGCGTCTCACCCTTGTGCTCAGATAAACTTCCTTTGAAACCATCATGCTCTCGATGAGAAGACCTAACCCGAATATTCGTTCTTTCTCGTTGCCTCTTTTCTTTGGCAAGTAACCTTCGCTCTTCAGCATCAAGCGGCATCTCTGCGTCAAAACAGAATTCCTGATTCCGAACAACAGCTTCAACAGTATACTCTCTGTCAGTACTTCCAGACGGTTTATCCTGTGTTATATTTTCATAGTTTTGCGCGCCATCTCCACTTGTATACATATACAAATGCGTTCGAGCAGGTACATGTTCTTTCATACCTTTTGCTCCTATTTTTGTCTTCTCCCGCACAAAGTTATTATCAGATTTTCTGTGTCGCCGGGGATCAGCCGAGCCTTTACGAGGTCTAGCATACTTATCATAGAAGGGATCCGTAGATACGGGCTCAGGCTCATCGTAAGCAGGAATGTTCGGCCAGTTCTCTTCTTCATAATCTGCATGTGCTGGTAATGATCCTTTCCGGTTCGATAAAGACAATTTTGCGTTAGGCTGATTCTATAAATAAAAACATAGTTAAACTAGTGAAAGCTTTCATCCACGCAATTTATAAAAAAAATTAATTAAAACAAAAAATGGTTGTGTGCGTAACTTGAAATATATTTAAAGTGCCAAATGACATTTGAGTTTTATATAAACAAACAATGTTGTTTACATGTGTTGTACACATCGCATGGGACCCATGTTAAATATGACGTGGCACGACAACTTTGCTGTTTACAGCTTTATTTAACAAGTCATACATTGAAAGTCTCCAAAGAATCAAACAAAATCTGCTGCCAATGTGTTAAATTTAACATAACATGATACTTCGAAAATCATGGAGAAAAGTCACCAATATCTACAAACTATTTTAATAATTAAAATTGTACAGTTTAAGTTGCTCAAAAACTTGAAAGTCAACTTAAAAGAAATAAAAATATTTCGACTTGGCCCAAACAATGGGCCATTCCAGTTTAATATCTGCACCCCCC